TGTTTCCACAATCACTTTTTGATCATAATCACCCTATCGTCTTTCTCCAACCATAAAATGAAATTTCTTCTTCTATTTCTGGTTTCCGCCTGAAAAAATGAAGTACTTTTGTCACCTTTCAGCCATAATGCTCTTGATTTTTGTCTCCAAATAACCTCTTCAGAATGAACCACCTTTTCTAGCTCCTCTTTCAACTCTGCTCCCTCCTTTCTGCCTTCTCTTGATAGGTTATTTTCTTTTTCCATCCTATCCAGATTTACCATTTTCTCTTGGAATGGAATCTATGATGGATTGGGTGGTGAAATCCTGGAATTCAGGGCTTTGATTTGGTATAATTGGGTATCTCGTGGCCATAATCAGGATTGTTGGTTTGATTTAATGGTATCCATATGGAGGAGGGCTGATCTAGATCGTTGGATTAGAACCTAGCAGTTTTAAGGATTAATTTAAGGGATCCTATGTTAAGATTTGGTTTCTTATGGTTTCCAAGTGTTCTAAGGCGACAAGAGCAGTCTGATTGGGTGTTTGGGGTTCTTGGCATTCCTTGCTCAGATCTTTGATTTTTGGGAACTTAGGGAAGTTTGGTGGGTTTTCTGGTTTGCAAGGTTTTGGTAGGGTGAAGGGAAAGAACCAAGCAAAAATTGGGTGCTGGAAACTATATATCAATTTATAAGTAGTAAAATGCTCAACAAAAGAAGGAAATGATAAAACATGACTCTAACTTAAGCAACATGAAATGTATGATTCATTAATGTGTGCAAAATAAGTAACTTTAGAAAGAAACATCCAAAATCAAATAAAAACTCAAATTTATCAACATAAGGGTGGCCAAGGCGTTTATACCAAAGATACCACACATTATTTTAACAATCATTGAACTAGGAGTAGTAGAAAACAAACACAATGGAGTGGAAGGATCTTATGTCTTCTCAAATTCCAAGGCAAACAGCAAACCCAGCTTATGCCCTTGGTCCTGAATCAAACAACCATCACAAGAGAAAGAAACAATGTTACCATCTTCGACCAATTGACCAACATAAATTAAATTAGTAGTATGTTTAGGAACAAGAAAAGTTTAAGGAAGGTGGAATTGTTTACATCCAATGATTTCAAGTTTTTTACCATTAGCAATAATGATATGTTTATTGAGTAAGGTTTAAGAGGCTGACCAGAATATGTCCTTGTCATGTGATTAGAGGCACCAGAATCGATTTACCCAAAGATTATTGGGAGAGGAACAACATTAATATGACAACTCACCAAATAGACTAATGGATAAAAATGCAAAGGAAATGGCTTTAGCTACCAATATCATCATCTTCTTTTTAGTAACTACACTTGAAGACCCGCCCTTAACTGAAGTGGAGGTGGAAGTGGAAGAAATTGTATTACCTTCTGACCCCTCTATAGTAGTTTGATAGGCTCTATGCCAATTTTTCTTTAAATTGGATCCATTTCCCTTAGGCAACCAAGTAGGAAATCAGTTATTATGTGTCGTTGCTGCTTACAATAGGTACACATGTTCTTCTAACAGTGAGAAACCACGTGACCATATTTCTTAGATTCACAACACTACACTTGGGATAAATCCTTCTTTGGATTTGACTTATTTGGAAGGACTATGGCTTCAACCTCAAAATCTTGCTTCCCATTAATAGTGGACTGGGTGATCAACCTTGTTTCTTCCCTTGGGAGTTCTCCCAAGATTGCATCCAAGCTAGGAATGGTATCCCTGCTAAGAAAATTTGATCTAATCACCTTAAGGTCTCAAATGCATAATCTTCCTCCTATCAAAGTGTTCTTTCATAACTTTGATGCAACAGATGAAGTTTCACTCAAGCATACTAATTCATTCAGTCCACTATAGAAGAGATGAGGGATAATCTTGTCTTTTTACCTTTATTGACTCTCTAGGAGCACCATTGTATTATGCATCTTGTATACTAGATAATTGTAACTTATTTGTATTTACTTCTTTATGATAGGACAGAATGGTCCTTTCATTCCATTAATATAAATACTGTTTCTAGGTGTTATTCTCATTTTTCTAACACATCTTCTCTTCCTCTTCCTCTCTTGTTTCTCTCTTGTTCAATATGACTATAACATGGTATCAAAGCAGGTCCGGTGTTGGAATCAGTTTGGAGAATTAATCAAGTTACAATTCACGGTTACTATTCACAATTATTGCTCATGGCTACTGTTCACGCAAAGTCTGTGGTACTTGAACTTATGATTTGACCTAACTATTCCTCTTGGACTGATCACCTTTTAGGTTTTCTCTGATAAAAGAAGAATCAGATTCTTCTCTGTTCGTGGAGTGCTACCAAGGTTCTTTCAATCAGCCCCACCTGATATTTTCCTCTACCTGCACAACCAGGTTTGAGGTTTCTCTTTTTCTTCACCCCAGAGGTGTAGGATCCTACTGAAAACATAGATTTTGGATCATCAAAACCTACTTTATCTACTGTACCTTGCTGTTCTTGAATAGGAACAGATTTGGGAGGGTTTTGATCCTTCTCTTGGGGTGACAACCTGCTACAGTTACCTTTTTTATCAGTGACCAGACCTGTTGCGTGGCTTATTTCTTTTGTTGTGGTCACTAATTCCCTTCAGCTATTTAGTTTTACTTTCAGAGGAAGGTTTTCCATCCTATACCTGCTTGGCGTTAGTCTTCTCTAGGGACTTTCTCAATCTGACTGGAAGGTGTTTGTTGAAAGTTTGAATTTCTATTCAGTTCCACTTTGTGAGTCTACTGAATGATTATTGAAGTTGATAAACTATTATCTTGCTGTTGTTTTTTATTGTTTCATTGATTGAACCTCTGCTGTTATGGATTTGGAAAGGACTGATGTTCTCCTTATTAAGTTCAGTGGAACTAATTATGCCTTGTGGAAGTTTCACTTCTAGTTTCATGTTGTGGAAAAGGGACTAAAGATGCAAAAGCTCTCCAACAGTGGAAAATTGGTAATGCTACGATTGCTTCATAGATTATTGGATCAAATGAAGTTTTACATTGCTATTACCATCTGTGGGTATCAGACTGCATATGAGATGTATTAGTACCTTGAAAAGGAATATCAACAACCCCACATTTCATGGAAATATCAAATAAAGGATGATATATTTTCTTATCGTCAAGGAGAGAGGAAAATTCAATAATGCTATTCAGTGTTCATTAACCTATGGACTCAATAGGAGTTAGTGCATTTGGGAGAGAATATTTTAGCTTGTTATGTAAAATTCATGAAGACACACTTTGACAGACGGAAGATTATGCATTTCTTAATGCATTTTAGACCTAAATTTGAAGTTGTTAGCTTCAATATTTTCAATAGGGAGAACCTACTAGATCTATACTATTCTTAGGGAGCTGTTGACAGAGGAAACCAGGTTGGTCACTCCTGATTGGAAGAGGGACACTAACTTTAATATTGCCTTTCTTGCAACTAAATCTAAGGGCAAGAAAGATTTCTCTCAAGTCCAGTGCTACAAACGAAAGGAATTTGTTCATGTGCATTCACACTACAAGAAGAAAAATACTTGCACTTACTGTAACTTCTAAGCAACAGTGATACATTATCATCAAATGTCCTACTTGTCCACCAGAGGGAGGTGTACCTAGTTAGAAGAAAGGGTAACATAAAGATTATCAAACTTCCATAGAAGACTCAGATACAACATCTCATCCAATTCTATATCTGCAATTGGAGATACTTCCAGTGTTATGACAGAGGAAAGGATTCTTGAACTAACCATATGATGTGGGCCTCATTTGGTCAGCCACCTAAACCTCATCCTTTAAATAAGCACATTTTTACTACTAATGGTGATAAACTTGATATTCTTGGTCGTAATGATCTTTTTTGTCTACCACAAAATCCTCATATTTTTCACCTACTGAAAACATTGTTTGCTCATAAACTTACTACCAACTTAATTTTTGTTGGTCAACTTGTTGAAGATAGTAACATTCTCTCTCACATGATGGTTGCTCAATATAGGACCAGTGTATAAAGAATAGGGGTATTTTTGTCATTTTATCTCTTGTTGCATGTATACTATTGGGCTTATAACCTATGGGTAGAGTTGCACAGACCTGTATTTTATCTTAGACCAACCGAACAGACTCTCTCCTCTGTTACTCAATCTCTTTCTCTCTTTCTCTTGCTCCAATACCAAGTCAGTTCAAGCAAGAGAAAGAAAGAAAGAGGAGTAATAGAGAAGAGAGACTATTTTAGTTGGTTGGTCTATTCTGTGAAACTTAAATCAGATGGTACTTTGGAATAAAGCTTGCTTAGTTTCTCAAGGTTACAAGCAAGAATATGACATTGACTATGATGAGACTTTTGCCGATGTTGCTTAGATGATGACTGTCCATTTTCTTCTGGCTATCACTGCAGTTAAATAATGGATTCTTCTTCGGATTATCTTCATCTGTTATGCTAAGGGAGCACTGTCACATGGACTCTTCTTCTCATCCTCTTCAACTATGTTGCTTAGAGCTTATGCTGATGCTGACTTGGTAGGTTGTCCTGACACTCGCCCTTCTACTACTAGTTGGTGTATTTTTCTAGGAGATTCCTTAGTCTCTTGGAAATGCAAGAAGCAACAAATTGTTTCTAAGTCATTTATTGAAGCGAAATATAGAGCAATGTCATCTGTATGTAGTGAGATAATTTGGCTCAAAGCTCTACTTTGTGATATGGATATTGATCACTCATTTGCCATTCCACTCTTTGTTGATAACATGAGTGCTATCAAGATCGTATCAAACCTTATCTTCTATGAGCATACAAAACACATTGAGGTGGATTTCCATTTCATCAAAGATTTCCTTCTTGTTGGTCACATCTTTCTCCCACATGTCTCTTCTAGCTTGTAGCTCGCTGATTTCTTTGCCAAAGCCATGACTAGGACCAGACATATTATGGACAAACTGATGCTTGTTCCTCAACATCAATTTGAGAGGGGAGCGTAGAGAAGAGGGGTAGTTTTGTCATTTTATCTCTTCTTGTATGTACACTATTGAGCTTATACTCTATAGGTTGAGTTGTACAAACCTGTATCTTGTATTTCATCTCTTTTGTAAGGATAATTTTGTCCATTTACTATTATTAATATAAACGCATCATTTTTGGGTTGGGTTGACTAAAAGAGACTAACCAAACAGTCTCTCTTCTCTTTTACTCCATCTCTTTCTCTTGCTCAAATTGACACAACACACTGGGAGAGGTGTAGACAAGATCGATTATTTGCTCTAGAAATTAAGAAGCACCAGGATCCATCCTCTTATAGCTCTTGTTTTCTTTCTAATGTTTATAGTTTTGAGACTGCTAATCATAATAAGTTGTGACACTTGTGGCATAGACACCTTGGTCATCCTTTTGCTACGAAACTAGATTACTTGTTTGCTTTTGGTTGCTTACGTTCTTTTGTTGCCTCTTTTAAATTATTTGTTGTTTGAGTAAGAATCATGTTTTACCTTCTAATTCTTCTCAACACACAACCATACCTTTTTAACTAGATGTTTGGTCATCTCCGATTACCTCATGGTTGGATTTTAAATATTTTGTTATTTTTATTGATGATTGCACTCATTATATCTGGATTTATATCCTTTGCAAGAAATCAAAGATATTTCCCACTTTCAAACTCCTTGCACTTGTAGAATTGTACTTTGGACAAGTCCTTAGTGTCTAGCTTCATACCTTTGTGTGCAATAAATGCAGTGTTGGACTAGATGTAACTAATTTTCCTTCAATACTTGCTGCATTTAGGATTCTAGTCTCCTCCCTAAGTCGTTCTCTCCCAACACTTAGTTGAAATCTTGAAGAGTTCCTCTGCATAAAATATTAAATTTTATTATCTCATGTTCAGATCCAAGTCTCATGAGAAACTAATTCACCTTCCTCTTCTCAAAGTGCTTCTAAAGACACTTAACACACTTTGAAGAATCAAAACGATTAATAGGAACCAACTAACTCATATTCTGCCAACAAGTAGAAACCAAACATAATACTCCTGTATTCTTTTATCTCCCTAAAAATAAGCAAATATCTTTGATTCAATCTGATATTGTCTTGACATATTGGACTGGTGATAGACTCTCTTCAGGTAAGAATACATTTCATAAGTTGTCTGCATCCTCCTCATAGGTACTGCAATGTTAGACTAAATCAAACTAAGAATCCTGGAAGAAGAAGTTGAATAAGTCATAAATCTTAGGTGTATCCTACAATGGTTCGAGGCAATATCAAGTCTGAAAATAAATTTGCATAAAAGTGAAACGATACCTACGGAGGAGGTTCCTAAAATGGAAGAGTTGGCCAACATTATTGAGAGTAAAGTGTGTAGCCTGCTCACCATTTATTTGGCCCTACCTCTAGGGGCTAAATGCACAGAAAGGCAATTCAGAATCCAGTATTTGATAGGATGGAGAGGAAGTTAGCCACATGGAAATCAAAATATTTCCATGGGGGGAAAATTTACAGTCCTAAAGAGTGCTCTATCTCAATTGCAAACCTTTTTTTCATATGCCAACAGAGGTGGCTGATAGGTTAGAGACTGCAAAGAAAGTTCTTTTATAGAGGAAAGGAGGGTAATAAGATCCATTTTGTTGACTGGGATCAAGTCTGTAAGCATCAAAATCAGGAGGAATTGGGGGTTAAAAAGCTGAGGGTGATGAATCAGGCCAAAATTGGCAAACGATTTTGGAGATTCAATGCCCAGCCGAATGGAAGTTATGGCTGCTCCATTTGGAGAGGTTCCAAGAAAAATTCCAGCAGGGTGTGGCCCTTAAAGTTGGCTCCAAGGATAGCTTTTGAAAAGACAGCTAGTATGAAGGAAAAGCTCTAATGATTAGATTTTTGAGTCTTTTGTGCTAGCAGATAGCAGAGATGCAAGGGTGGCAGATTTATATGAAGTTATTGGTGGTAGGGTCATGTGGAGCCTCTCCTTTAGGAGGCTCTTCAATGATTGGGGAATAGAAGAGATGGAATCTTTAATTGAAATGCTAAACTGCAATCCCGCCAACCAAGTGAGGCTGATGTAAGAAAATGGAGATTGGATGCATTTGGAAGTTTCACAGTCCAATCCTTCTACAAGAAGCTTTTTGAAGAGGTGGATTTGGGCTTACCACACTAGCAGATTCAGATTTGTTATATCCCCTTTAAGGTGACTTTCTTGATGTGAACAGCAGTTCTGAATAAATTCCTTGCTGCAGATGGCCCGTTAAGAAGAGGGTTGCAGATCACAGATAAAAGATGTGTGCTTTGTGGAATGGACAGAAAACAACAGATCATTTAATCAATCACTGCCTCATGGCTATAGAGTTATATAATCATTTTTGTGAAGGTTTTAACCTCTGCTGGCGCTTTCCTAGGTCATTCAGTGGCCACCTGCAAAGTTGGCAAGTAGAAGGATTAAATAAAAGAGGTAAGACATTATGGAGAAGAATCACAGAATCTATTACATGGGGTGTTTTGAGGGAAACAAACCAGCGGATTTTTGAGACTTATAGGGCAGGATGGTTGGACTGATTCATTCCTGGTTATCATTGAATGACAGTTTCAAGGACATCCCCCACCATGGTTATTGTAAATTAGTTTTTGGACATTTGTATTTCCGGGTGGATGGATCCCCAAGCTGTTGTAACTTTTACCATGATTATTTTATTTTTGTAAATTTGTTTTATTAAGGGAGTTGGTGTAGGGTTAATCTAGTTATTTTTTGGCTGTGCTGCACTGTGTACAGTGGCTCACTGTACATCTGATCTCCTGTACATGTTTGATACATAATATCAATGAAATACTTCACCTTTATTCTTCTTAGAGAGAGAGAGAGAGAGACAAAAATTATGGGACATTGTCCCTTTCATTAAGCTTTATACTAATGTACATAGAATTACAATCAAGCCCTCCATTAGTATAAAACATAAACTTGGACAGATTTTCCCTTAAATAAGCCATTAGAGTTTCAAAAAATATTATTCTGAAGACACCCAGAATAGAGGGTTACTAAAATAACTACACAGAGTAATGCAACTAAACTAAGATGGTGAATACTTGAAAACCTATGGAGTCTCCCCACCTAAGTTGCCACATTAAAAATTACTAAGACATTTAGATCTATTAACAGGATATACAAAAACAAAGATCAAGAAAAAAGATGCCAGAAATTCATTGTGGACAGCTAAAAATGCAAAAAGCTAAAACCATGAAATCAGGTACAAATAATTCATATATACCTTTTAATTGATGATATAACAAATATAAAAAAGAAAAGCCAACTCCCAGTATCTTTTTAACAACAATATTGTTTTTTCAAAACGTTTGTGTTGGATGCCACAACTACTTTGAAAAGCTTTGTTATCATATATCCCTTTCTCTCAGGCACTGAATATTATTTTATTCTTTTCATGTTCATAAGACTTATTGAACATACTCCTATATTTCAAGGTTGAATGCCCTACATCATTTTCCAAACATATATTATAAATATAAGAAATAAGCTGTATGGATTTACTGTAGCCAGCATGTTATACAAAACATCAGCATCCATGTTACCTAACCAATCTTCACATTTCCAAAATGTCAAAATATTTGTATCACTGGTTTCTCAACCAGTTATAATCAGAATTACATTCTAACACTTTCACATAAACTTATACCTGGATAAAAACCATCAACATAAAGTAATAATTCTGAAAGTGCAACATTGCAAAGAACCCTTGCAATAGTGTCAGTTTCATAAGAGCACTCAACCATCTGATTGTGCTGATCCTCCAGATTTAGTGTTAATAGGCATAGATGGCATGAGTATGGACTGGTGTGGGTACTGGTGTTATTAAGGCTTCAAAAATACAGCATTAGTGGCTAATTTTGTTAACTTATTTTTAGGGCCACTCAGATTACATTATATCTCTTTCCCTCAGAATCCCACAGTTGAGCGCTCCAGCACAAATTCTGTCTTGTGTCTCTTCACAGTGACAAAACTCTTCCCATAAAACCTTAAAAATGTATACAGAGTTATGGACCAAATCATGTAAAAATAACATAAATCTAGTCAAAATGGAAAACATATCATACCTCTTCGTTGTCTGTAACCACCATTGATCTGTAAAATGTTTCTGGATGAATTGCTTTGAAAAATGAGTCAACCTGTTCTTTATGAGTTTGACCTTCAACTGGAGGTATATCCCTAACAAGAATTGTAAATTGCTCTGCTTTCACGTCTGCAGCCATAAAAGCAGTGGCTCTCAGCTCAGATACATGTGTGTACCCCCTCCATAACATGTAAAATGTAACAAATGAAACCCAGTAGGTGCCTATAAAGAATGCCCACAACCTTGGACTTCTTGCCTGGAAATAAATGCATAAGAACACATGAACAATCAAAATTGAAGGAAACATGACAAAATTTCATTAAACAATGGCACATTATAGCTCAAATGTCACCAGGCCACCATATAAAATACAGCCTTGTACAGCAACACCAAGCATCACACAAACCAACTAAAACTTCTAATACCATGAATGAGGACCCCCTGGTGTCAGAAACTACAAACAAATCTTCTTGAATTGGTTGGCAAGCAAATATGTTTCTCAAGAACACCACAAGATTGTTAGAAAAATGATTGAATACTGGAGTTTAATGGGAAAAGTTTGCAAACACCAACCTTCTCTGCAGACATTGGTTTTACAAACTTAAGAACCACCAAGCCTAGTTGTCCACTCACCTAGGTGGCCTACAAAAAGCCTAGGTAATGCTTTGGTTAACTGATCAACATAAAGAGAAATGATGGGTAGAACTGCCTTAACAGTTCTCCTTTTTTAGTGTCTAGATGTAAACACTAAAGAGTGATGCTTGGAATTCTGATATTTCCTACTGAATTACCAAACCAGACTTTTCTTCCTAAGAACTTATCATCACATAGACAGTGAATTGCAAAACAGGGTTATACACATCTTCAGAATACTCAAGAGAATGGGAAACTAGCAATTTATAGATAAATTTTAGGGTAAATAGCAGATTAGTACCCTGTACTTTGGGGCTAGTCTCACTTTAGCACCCAAACTTCAAACATGCCACTGCAGTACCTGAATTCTCAAAAACTGCCAGTTTAGTCAAAATTGTTAACCGATGTTAGATGGCATGTGAAAGGACCCTTTGAGTTTTAAGAGATTATGAAAGCTTCCAAAATGCCTGAATATCAGAGAGCCAAGCTCCTTTATACCCTACAAAATCAGTCTATGTACAGGTGCACATCTTTATGCTCTTCAGATTGACTGAATGGAAAATCTGTCAACCCCGAGTCTGAACTAAATTCTGTGTTGTTCTGGTTGTTTGAAGGGAAAATTTGGTGACGTTATTTTACCTCATGAAGAATCAAAGCCTCAGAGATTATTTAGTAAAGGAGAAGGAGAAGAAGAGAGGCCAGCAAATGTGCCTTCTATGAATGTAGATGTTTCAGAGTTAAGAAGACTTTCTCCCAATATTTTGGTTGGCCGCTGTGACAGCAAAACCAGGGGAAACATCTATGACCTTATTTGTAGAATTTGTTGCCACTTCTGCAGGAAAAAGAAATTGTCTGGTGAAGGTGATTGCAAGCGGTGTGGAAATATTGATCTAGATCATCAACCATGCTTGGGGAAGACAGATTGCTCAATGTGCCATTCTGATTATGGACCAGCTTCAACGAGCCACAAAAGGAAAAAGACGATCCAAAGAACAATTCAAGGAGACCAAATAATAGAGAGTTGCAGGTTCACTTTATGTGTAGAACTGTAGAACTAATTGGGTGGAAAAAATTTAGGAACAATTTCTGACATGTAATAACGCATTGTAGTATTACATTAGTAGATGATGAATTTGAATCATGTCTTCAGCTTGTCTTCCATTTTAATGGATTTTGGTTGTGGATATGAGGTTTGAGATTATCTCTGTGCTGACTTCAAAGTTTTATACAGTAACCTGGAGCAAAAAGATCAGTAATATTCAATCAAGAATACAAACAAAATACATCAACCATAATCAATCAAGAACACAAATAAAGCAAGCCATGGGCCTTTTGTTGAGGTTAGGTTCTTCTCCAATTGTTGTCATTGGGGCTCTTTCTTTGCATAGCAACCCATGAAGAGAAACAAAGCTCCATTAGACTTGGACTTTTGTTGTCTGAAAGAGTCATTAGACTGAGGAAGAATGCTTCTGAAAGGCTCAATGGGGCCTGGTATACAAGAATATAATACAGTATAACAGTTGAAAGAAGTGTAGTTCATAATTGATACACATCATTTTCTATTGTTTCATCCACAAAAAAAAAAAAAAAAACGAAGAGATCTTTTTTCTTGTATGAAAATAGTTCTAATTTTAAACTTCTAGAACCATTGTTCTGTCAACTTTGATGAGTAAATGGGCAGAACTGACAGAACCAATGAAATTTCTACATCACTGGATGTCTTTCCACGCAAAAGCTCAGAAGATTGATCTACATAACCAGTCAACCACTAGAAGAGCTTTCTACAGACTATCAGAAGCCTCTCTCACAAAAGTACTCTCAAAGTGTGCACCAGCACTGGAGAATCTTGATTGCAAAAACTTCAATAAACACATTGCTACCTCCTCTGACGTCGCCGGAGAAGAGGGGTTTAGATTGTCATCGTTGTATTCTTTCTCCAGTTATTAAATCCATAACAAAGGGGGGTTTAGACAATCAAGGTAAAATGGTCTTGGCATTTTTAAAAAAAATCAAGTCACAAATGTCTTCATGTGATACCAATAACTGGCAGATTGCTAACAGCAGGTACTAAATTGGCAGTTTTTGGGAGTTCAGGTACTGCAGTGGCACATTTCAAGTTCGGGTACTAAAGTGAGACTAGCCCCAAAGTACAGGATACTAATCTGCAATTTACTAGATCTTATCTTGGTGAAAAGGTTCTTGGGTTCTCCAACATATATAGAATCAATAAATGGGTGTTTTTTTTTTTTCTTATTGAGAAGGAAAGAACAATAAGGATAAATGAAGCATAAAGGATAAAATATAAATTCATGGAAAAAGCTAAAAGTCTTACTTTAACATTTCCCATGGATATTTTGTCAAGGTTGCTGAAGGTCCCATTGCTGGTGCTCTGATTTGACACACTATCATCAGTTGCAGCAACTGGAAGAAGAACTGGGAGCAGCACAAGCCCAGATAAAACCAATATACCCAAAACTGAAACATTGATTAAGCAGATGAATATTTATAATATCATAGATCTAATTCTAAAAAGAAATGAAGTACCAAGAATATAGCATGTCCTCCAACATATTTTCTAAGAATAAGTTTAGCATTTTTGAAAACCATGACTCTCTTCTGCTGTGCAGTGGAAGCACTATAACAAAATTGTTGATTCTATAGTACACAGTAGAATATCAGATAAGACCTCTAGCATGATCACAGTTTCATCATTGGGAAGGGATTTTATGTCTTTTTTCTGTTTTCAATTATTCAAAAATTGTGTGTTTCTCTCTAAATTTCTCTCCTATTGTCCAGATTGGTCTATGTTAAAGGAATATATTCTTTATTCTTTGTTAGCATGTTTCAGCAAGCATGTTCTTTTAACTTTTCGCTCGCTCACCAAAGCTCCAACAACCCCATACTTTCTAATGTTGTTCATTCATTCATCCTAATAAAAAATATTTTTAAAAGACACTTAAAGTTATAAAACTTTTTTATAGGGATTAAGAATTTAAGACCTTGATATGGACTTGTTTGGGCTTGCTTCAAGGGGCTTGGGGGCGGAGCTCCCAGCCCAGCTGCTAAGCATAAAAAACCAGAATAAATGCACAAATTTTCAAAAGGTGCGCTTCTGGGATGAAGTGCAAGGCATACAAGGCACACTCCTTTTGAAAGTGTTGTGCCTAGGACCTAGGCAAGGCACATATCCTAAAATGAGCCTCACCTGTGCACCTAGGCATGCCTCAGGTGCACCTTTTAAATCACTGGTCTTCTCTTGTTCGAACTGCACTTACATGATATCAGAGCAGGTTTGATTTCTCTGCTATTATTCTCAGCTTTCCCTCCTCTATTGTGCACCAAATAGGGATTTCTTTTTCTCTATTTGCACTGGTTCTTGGCATCTTCTTGGAGCTGTTTCGATCAGAACAAGGAGATTTGGTTTTTTGAGAAAAGATGTCATTCAGGTTAGTGTTTACATTGTTTCTCTCATTTGGCCTAAGATTTTAAATCTCGTGTTGCCCTAGGCTGTTCCTTCAGCCTATAATTTTGGCAAAACTCGGATTTGGTTTACTAGGATTTCAATCCCTTCTTTAGTTTGATATACCTGTGAACTTTCCTTTTCTGGACTGTCAAGGAATTTTCAGCATCTTTTTGCCTTCCAGTGCTTTTTTTTTTTAACTTCATTCCTTCTGATGACTTCAAAAAGAGGTGTTGTGCTTCCTATTAAGTTCGATGGGACCAATAATGCTCTATGACAATTTCATTTTCAATTTTATGTTGAGGGAAAAGGTTTGTGGGGGTACATTGATGGCACTACCACCAAGCCAAATGAAACTGATGTGAAAGGGCTGCAAACTTGGAGGATTAATAATGCCCAAATCGCATCCCAGATTCTTAGTACTATTACTATAGATGTTGCTATCTCTATGATGGGTCTCCAAACAGCCAATGAGATGTATGATTATCTGGAAAAAGTTTATCAACAATCAAACATCTCGAGACATTATCAAATTGAGACAAAATTTCTCATATAGCTAGAGTGAAAGAAAAATCCAGGAGTATTATGCTGGTTTCATTAATCTTTGGACAGAGTATGAATTAGTTCACACAGGAGAGATATCATCAGCCTACTGTATCAAGGCCCTGAAGGAACACTTAGAAGGAAGGTGATGCATTTTCTAATGCATCTACGACCTGAATATGAGGTGATAATATCAAATATCTTGTGTAGGGACATTGTACCATCTCCTGACAGTATTCTTGGTGAGATCCTTCATGAAGAAACTAAAATGGTTACTCAGGTTTGTATGAATGCAAAGAATGAAGGGGTGGAGATTGTGTCTCTAGTGGTAGATAAGTCCAATCAAAGAAGGATTTATCTAAAGTACAATATTATGAATGTAAGGAATTTGGGCATGTGGTGTCTCATTGTAGGAAGAAGAACATGTGCACCTACTATAAGAAGCATGGACATATTATATCCTAATGCCCCACTGGACCACCAAAAGGGGACTATTCTGGAGGAAAGAAAAATCAGCACAGGGCCTATCACACCTCAGTTAAAGGATCAGATGGCATATCATCCTCTACTGTACTGGAAAAGGGAGATGCTCCTAACGTTATGACAAAGGAGAAGATCAAGCAGCTCTGTCCTCGGCATTTTCTGTTTTCAGCCTGTTTGGTGAGTTTACCTATTATTGTTCTTCACCTAATCATCTCTGTATCATTGATTCTGGCACCTCCAATCATATGATGGGGGAAACTTGTGGTCAATCTTCCTATCCTATTTCTTCACATAAGATATGCTACTGATGATAGGCACAAAAGTTTAAAAAATGAATCTTCACTCTGTTCTTCCACCTAATTAAATAACTGACTAGAAACAGCAAAAAAAAAACACATGAAACAATGTATGAGTAGAGAACAATACCTCTGAGCAGTTTATACTTTAAATTAGCAGTGGACATGAAAAAAAAAATACCTTGAGAAACATCAAAAACATTTTCTCTTAGAAAATTATAGACAATAATTTAAAGTACTCGGCATGAAAACCTCATCAAAATGTGAAGACAAGTACTGAAGAGAACACTATTTACTAGAGAAAATGTCCCAACAAAAAAACTAGAAAATAGAAAACTAAAGAGTAAAGAAAAGCACTATTAAGTGAATTTTTGAATAAAAATAAGGGCGAATATTAATTGCAATATAATTTTTGTTTCATAGTATTAACTGCGAAAGAAAATTCAGAACGCAGACCTATAATGGTACATAAGTCATAATATCATATGATCTATGTTGGGTACAACTGGTCAAACAAAAAGAAAAAAAAAAATTAGAAACGCCAATAAAGAAAGAACAAAACTTCTAAAGGAAGGGAGTGGGGAAAACATTTAAAAAAAAAGTCACAAGAAAGTCAAAAATCCAACAAAAAGGAGGGAGTGTAATAGATTGCAATTAAAATTTTCAAAAGAACATATAAAAGGTACCAAAAAATGGAACCTCCAAAAACCCGTCTCAGTATAATAGAGTGAAAATGAACAAACAACTTGATGATGAAAAAATCATCACAAAAAGTAATCCATCTAAACTAAAAAACAACAAAAAAATAAGTTAAAATTTCTGACACCACCCAACCTTACAAGTAAACGAAAAACAATAAACACCAGCAGCACTAAAAGATAAAGAGATAGACCTAGAATTAAATATAATCACCATAAATAAAAGAAGAAAAGAATTATTCAAATCCGTTTAACATAAAAAAAAAAAAAAGATTAAACAAGAAAAAACAGGAAAGTGGAAGAACGAGAGACTAACCGGTATTCAAGAAGACAAAATAAACGGCCGTGTCGATGCCAGACATGGAAATGATATCTGCTTCAGTGGAACACAGAGCCTCCCAAATCCAAGTAAATGGGCTCCTCGTCCTTGCACCCTCATAAGGCTCCAAGCCTTTGAGAATCCGATTTGGGTAGTATACAACATCGTTCCCGGGTTTGCTCGAAAGACATGCGAATATCCACATCAACACCACAAATATTAGGAATGAAGTTCCGAGAGACGTCAGAAATGAACTTAAATCCATGCTCCTATTCCCTTGTGCTTCACTTCTTGTTCTACCTCAGCTTTTTCTTCCTTTTTCCGTGGTGGGTGGAACCCAGAAAAGCAGGTTCTCTAAAATCCAAAAACAATAGCCATTGAATTGTTCAATGAAAGCGAGAGCTGCAGAGATCGATGATGATAGTTGTTATTATTATAATACATGTTTTCTGGAGAAAGAAAAAAAAACTGTAGAGATGATTAGCTAGCTGTTCTCAGGTCTTCTTTCATTTATTAGTTTTACCTCTGCAAAAAGAGGCGAGAAGGGAAAAGGAGAGAAAGGGGAAGAAAGGAGATCCGAAGTTCCGAACTGACGAAGGGAAGACGGAGAGAGAGAGAGAGAGTGGTAGGGTGTGATTGTGTGAATGGGTTCAAATTACTGAAATATCCTCCCTGTTTAACTGTCAAACCACCTAAAATGTCCGAATTGCCGGTAATTTTAATACAAACTGACAGTATTGACCTTAGACGTTGTTTTATATAACATAATGTCCGGTGTCCTGACTCTGGCAGGTAGAACCGAAGTCTCAGGTAACGGTTCTTTCTGTCAGACCCGGTTGGTTGGTTCTTCGGTTCAAACCAGGAAGCAGAGACAAATCGAACCAGAAGGCTATTCTTTTCTGGAAAATAGAAACCGTTCCTTATCCTTGGGGGAGGAGCAGCCTAAATTGGGTGCAAGGCCGGTCTGGTCTGGTCTGATCCGGTTATTTGTTTTTGATTGTGCACATCAAACTCAAAGGGTGGTTTTGTAAATTACAGGAAACTAAAGCATACCCCTCAGGGGCTACCCTACGAGCTACGACCTAGGAAGCAAAGCTGACAGGTGTTGACATATCTATTCTACTCTCCTGCCAACACGGGACGTTTTGAGTTTTGACCAGTTGGCATTCATAAGTTTGTTTTCTTGTTTCAATTGCCGATGACCCCGTCCCCGTGCGTTGACATGGTCTGATCACTCTTCACTCCACGCAACGGGTTTGGGATCCGCTGCAAACTGCAAAGACGTGTGTGAAAAACAGGAGAGAAATGAGTCAGGATCTGGTGCTAACAAAACGCGTTCCAACCCTCTATCAATTTGAGCTAGCACCCCACATTTCATCATAAAAATGGGATTCATCATGTATGAGATGTGTGGTGTGAGATCTTTGTTGGTAGAGGTTTGAAACATGTTTTGTTGGCAGGTGATCCGGATTTGAGAGAAATGCATACATTTTTGTTGAGGTGGCAATTATAAACCATTAACATTGTCGAACACCCCCTACTCCTAGTATTCCTAAACATGGTTACGTGTTTACAATACTCGCATATTGACTCTTGGTTTGATTAGGAATGGCAATGAAACGAGTTTAGGGCAAAAAATCCCCAAATTTTTCTTGCCTGAAGACAACCACTTAGAAATACATGGGGTAAATCCCTTAAATTACCCCTAAATTATAGGACATGGATTAAAACTTCTATCCTATGGAGGCTTTCTCTCGTGAAGATGTAGAAGGATTACTACAATGGCATGTACAACATCATCATCATTTGGAGATGTGGATACATCGTCATATTATTATTACAGTAGTTATGCCAAATACATGCAAATCTTTGATCCCATGCGTTCGAGGGGGCTTGTTAGGGAATGTGATTAGACCCATTTGTGAAGTCTAATTCCAAGCTACCACGTGTCCCTAAATGAAACAATCAAGTAACTTCTTGATGACCCAAACCAATCCGGACTGTCAATCTAACCGACTGGTTTCACCCAAATGCCTCTAACACGCCTAGACACCGATAAGGATAAATGATGAGAAGCTTAGGTCAGACCTGGCAGTCATCTCCCAACAAGATTAGGACTCCTCGACGAGCACGATGACTCCTCTATAAATAGGTGAGATATCCCTCAAAAAAACATAAAAAAAAAAAAACAGTATGCATATTTTAGCCTTCTCTTAGCTTCCATATCTCGTCCTTTACTTTCCGGTTTGATGTCTCTATGTACTTACTAGCTTAAGCATCAGAGAGTTTTCCCCCAGAGGCACCCCAAGACTCTCTATCTTTTCTTGCTTGCAAGTGCCTCCAGAAGTTGCTTGGTTCATACGACCTCCTTGGCTCATCCGACTTACAAACTCCTCCATCTCTTCTATCTGTTGCTCAAAGACTTGTACACACATTAATAGGGATTCGCAAGCCTTGTCTCACTCTTAGCAAGTCTCCACATCTGCAAAGAATTGACCAAAAAACCAACAACAACCCAACCCTCTACAAGCATCGCAAGAGAACCAACCCATCACTTAGGAACAATTCTAGAGTCTTCAACAATGGGTTGACAATCTCTTGTAGCCATGAAGCACCTCAACAACAAGGTCGGGATCCAAAACCCGCTCACCATCCAGATGACCAAGCAAGCAACAACAACTGTAGCAGTACGATGCTCGGGACCATCCAATAAAAACCCCCTCCAATAATCTTCAGGACTGTCTCAGTTATAGACATGCACAACTAGTCCTCAAAAATGGTGCTCAAAGACATGTGAGCTTGACTCTCAGTGATCGATGAAGAAAGAAAAACGTAACTCAACCTTGGACAACAACTCTCTAAGAATCCACTATTCACCGCATATATTCGAGAAGAGCCACTCGCATCCAACTTCAAGACACCAACCATAAAGGCCTACAACGGAAAAAGAAACCCTATAGACCATTTGTAAAACTTTAGGGCTCTCATGCTCTTCTACAACTACTACAATCCAATCACCTATAGGTCCTTCCAAGCCATGTTCACAGAGGTATCTCAATAGTGGTTTCTAAATTACCACCTGAGTCGATTTGATTGTGGGACCAATTTGCCAACCTGTTCATGGACCATTTTATAAGCAACAAAGAACCACTTCATAAGGCCTACGGTAAAATTGGAGACCCCATAAACCATATGAAAAACTTTAGGGCCCTCATGCTCCTTAACAATTACTACAAGTCAATCACTTGTAGGGATTTCCGAGCCACATCCACGGGTGTAGCTTGATAGTGGTTTCTATATTACTGCCTAAGTTAATTGGATTGTGAGACCAATTCACCAACCTATCTGTGAACCACTTTATAAGCAACAATTAGTACAAGAGGACCTCAACATCACTACATAAATGCCAAGAAGACATAAGTGCGTGCATAGCTAAGCAATGGAAGAGGAAAGATCTGATCAAAGGAAAAAAGACAAAGAAATAACTGTAGAGATCAAGACAGAGACGACCATAGGAGGAGCTCGTTCCAAGTCGACAACCTTAATCAAGTCGTAAAATGCTCCAAGTTATTACCACTACACACTTGAATGCTTTGTAGACACTTAATTACTTGAGGTTCGCAATAAGCCCTTCCTTAGATGGCCCAAGAAACTTAGATTCAATGAGTAACAAGAGAAATCAGAATAAGTACTATTGACCCTATGTGTTTTGATAATAACAAATTCATTAAGAGTACTAATGGTGTGATTAAGTGTGCAACAATCTTTACTAAGCTTCTTTGTTCCAAAAAATATTAAAACAAAAATGCTACAAAGATAAAGAAATGGAATTTATTGAGCTAGTTGCTTAAGCCTCATATTCTGAATACCATCATCTCATCTCTCTAAGCTGAGGAAGCTCCAAGCAATTTAAGCATATTGGCGTGCTGTCGTAGGCACCCAAAAATAAACTTCTACTCGTAAAGATGGAATGTAGTAGTGCAAGTAGGGATCGTTCCCACAGAGAGTATCTAACCCAAATTATGTGCTACGCGAATCAAAGATGAAGGTGGGGTGTATGTAATGAAAATCATATTTAAAATAAGGAAAATCAGAATTGATAAAGAACGCAATTTAAATGAGAGTATAGGTAACTTCGAGTGCTGAAATTAATCAATGAATAAATCTTGGTCTAGGATAACATCTACCATCAAAATTATACTATTGCTCATCGATGCAAAGATAAATCAAGGAATAAATCGTTCATGCATCTTCCTACTATCAGTTAATCGGAAAACAAGCCATCATCTTAACCCTTACTACTGAACAACCCCTAAACAAGTGTTAAAGATTTAATCCAGCAATATCATTAAGCATTAAAGATCGATGAAGCTAAACAACACAAGCACAAGTGGTTGCATTTAATTTAGTCGATTGTTTTTCCTAAGATCTAACAATTTCTGACGCATCAAATCATTAAACCCTAGTTGCTTCGCAGATTAGAGGGATCAAACAATTACGGATTTGATATCTAATCTAGCAATAGATTGTAACGAATAATAAATTAGTAGGCCTTCCTATCAATCAAACGAAACAATCATAGATATAAACATAGAAGAACATTCGATATCCCAATAATGAATAAAACAATAAAAACTAAATTAGATCTCACAGTTTGGTGGATTCTAAGGCTTTTGCTTCCTTTGACCAAGTACAAGACTTTAGTCATGCATGGTCATGGTGAAAACTCAAAAAAAAAAAAAATCAGAGAACGAAGAAGATAGGAGAAGAGAAAAGAAGAACTGAGGTCTTCTCCCCCAAGGTTGAGTGGTGCCTTGGGTGCTAGTCTGCCCCCTTTATATAGACTTAGGAGGGAGTTGTCTCCTGCTCCTCTAAGGAGTTCTTTCTTCATTGGGAGTTTAGTTCTCTAATAGATAATGCCCAGATTAGATCTAATCTACTCCTATCTCCTAACTGGTAATCTTAATCTCTTTTATCCTTCTATAAATACAATAGAAAGTTGAATCTGATAGGACTCTTTGATGTTTCTTATTCTTGCATTCGTATTGGGCTACTGCAAGGCTTCTCTGTGAATTGGGCTTCTGCTGCGAACTGGGTTTCTCTACGAATTGGCTTAAACTTCGGGATCGATTTTGACCTTGATGCATTCCGAATCTATCAAAACTCAAAACATGAAAGTTGTATATTTTTTCTTTATCTTTTCAATGCATCTTGAATCATCTCAATCGGAGTCCGGATGGGAGAGTTATGCCCAGATTACTGCATAGCACCGAAATTGTGCAAAATTATCCGATTAGCCTTGTTTTTCACCCTACGCCTTCTTTCATGCCCTAAATCGAAATACAAGAATTGTTAGTCCAATTAGATACTAAATAAGTGTAAAATACTAAATATAGGGATAAAAATATGATAATTTTTATTCTCATCACATATTAAAGCTATTGAAGAACTAAATGATTTTGGAGTTACTCAAAGGTCAACTGCTACAACAACTCATTAAAGAGAAGACTATGTCAAGTTATGCTCAATTTATGTCAATCATTTAGGATCCTGATGTAATTAGTTGCATATGATGCACTTTCTTGATGCTCAATAAGACTAAACTTAGTATAAGCAACGTTAGAGACTAATGGCTAGAATAGGTTTGGTTCCTAGGCTTTTCTGGACTTAAATACGTGATTATAGTTAGAAAAATATATTTTGAAAGCCAATGGAAGAGAACCCAAATCTTTGGATAAGAATTCCCAAGGTTTCTAAGTGTTGTTAAGCAAGATTATATTAGCTCTTTAGAGTAGTCAACTACTTAGAAGTGTATAGTCGATTAACTGTGACAATCGAGGCAAGTTTAGCTTGATTGAGAGACATTGTTGATTGTCCCAAAAGGCATAGTCAACTAATCATGACAGCCTATGTATAAATATGCCTTATTTGAAAGAGTAATTGATTGCCCAAAGAATCATAGTTGACTAATTTAGACAGATTAAGTTCAAAAATGATATCAATCAACTAATATAGGGGAACCAATCGACTGTATAAGAAAAAATATGTCTCCCTTTGTGAAGTAGCCAATTAGCAATTTTGATAGTCAACTACTTTGAAGAAATTTGACCGTGAATGCTCAAAAGGCTATTATCATCTACGGAAATCTTTCTAACGTGTTAAAGGAAATTTGAAACAATCACTTGCTCACTAATCCTCTATAAATAAAAGGCAAGAGATTAAAATTCAGCTAAAAAACAACTTGTGCTTTTCTTATACATATGTATAGTTGTTTCTCAAAGAGAGCAAGTTAGCTAGAATCATTTTGTTGAAGATATTCCTGAGCTTCAATATTTTTAAGGATGAGAAAAGTTGAGAAGCCCTTGAACTTGTACAATCTCCCCTATCTATTGTAGATCTCTTCACTGAGTTGAGTATTTATAGAAAAACCCTAACAACTGAATAATTTGTGTTTTGTATATATGCCTATTCAGAGGCATCTCTTGCTGTAAACCTACTATTATGCTAAAAACTAAATATTTGTAAGCAAGTAGGTGTTCAAGTTTTGAACACCATTAAGGTTTTGTTATCACATTTGTTAAGCCCAAATACAAGACCTTGCAAGCACCTAGAACTCCTACTAGATAGGTCTTGTTGCAACCTATGAAGTCCAACTAATTTAGGTCTTGCAAGCACCTGTGAAAGCCTGCTAGTTGTAAAGGCTTTGTTGATGCCTAGGAAGTCTAATTGGTTAGTGGAAATCATCAATGGTAATTTGAGGTAGAGGATGTAAGTAGGGATGGCCAAAGCTCTATAAAAATCGTGTGTGCTTTTGTGAGTATGTTTTATTTTCTTCAAGTTTTGTAGTTTATCTATTTACTAACATTCTCTCATAACTATAATAACTTGGGCTTTTGAGATCTTGAAGATATTGCATTTATTATTATTATTTTCTTTCTATTGATATGCAAGAGACAAGATCATTTAGTGCAATTACTAAGCTGCTAACCCTACTACCATTTATTAATTGCATTAACTCTCAATTTGGATTTTATCGCTTACTAACCTCTTCCAATTGCTAACCATTTATTCTAATGGATTTACATTTAACATTTATTAGTTGTTTGTCTCTATTGTTTATTTATTATTCAACTATATTTACATTTTAAGCAGTTAGATTTATCCTTGGGATTTTGGTAGTAGTTTAGCGAACAGCTTGAATCACAAGTTGATTCAACTTGAATAGCTAGTCCTTGTCTCAACTATCTTCTTGTGGTTGGTCTTTTTCTCATCTACCCATTAGTGATTGGTCCTCTCTCTCCAACTACTATTTCAAGAACACACCACCGGTACAACTGCCATTATTTTATTTTGACTGCCATTTAAATTTTTGTAGTTATTTATTTTTAATGTTTATATTTGGTTATATAACAACATTGCCACTAACAGGTTGCAATATTTGATTGTTCTATTTTATTATATAATTGGTTTCTTGTTAGCAATTACTTGATTATTGTTTATACCCATTTAACTACTAACCCCTATGATTCCTAGTATTATATTATTTACTAGCATGAACCTGTGCGATACACAAAAATACCCAACATCCAATTTAATAACAAAAATGATCAAAAAGATATACCAAGTGTCACTCGAATCCACATCTCCGCTGGACTACCCAGCTAAAATGCCAACTGAGCCACCACTCGGTGTCCTTCTATCATTTTATGAGACTATTTTTTCCCATATATTTATTTATAAAACAGTGTTACCACCCCAAAGTAAAGGCCTAAGGGGTAGGCCTATATCGTGATTCGTGTATACTTACAACATTGGGTAATCAGCACAAAGATGATCATAATAGAACGGCTCTCTCTCTCTCTCTTACAGTGTTACATCAAAACGTCAACCTCCTAAGACCATATACAATATACTTTTACAATGGCCTCAGTTGCAATTGAGCCACATGCAGGGACTGTGGCCATGACCTAAACACTCTTCCAAGTAAATGCAGTGACCGATCAACACGTAAAGACCCAGAAGCAGACCAAAATTGCATGAAATATTACAACGCGCCAAAAAAATTGAGGGGAAAACGGTGGGAAGAAATGAGGGGGAGGGCTACAAGATCTCTTCAATGATCAAAGCTGTTGAATGTCATCTAAAATTGCAGCAGTGAGCCCGACCTCTTGCCAACTTGTCCCACAAACAGATCATCTGCCTCGGTGACTGATAATGTGCAGTATAATAATCTGGCATGCACCCATATTGACAAAATTTCCAATTGTGGGAGTATTGGACAAACTTTGTACCGTTGAATTGCTCAACCCACATTCCCATGCTCACGTCTTCCATCTTGAACAGCTGCAGAACAAAAGTATATTCAGTCAGAAGGATAACAACAGAATGAATAGGCACAATTTAAGGAAATAATGGTTTCCCGAGTTAACAAACCCTTAGGCTATGATTGGTATGTTGAGCAACAATAAATCTGGCAATGTCGATTGAAATAATGTATCCAGGTCCGTTGGCATAAGGAGGATATACTTCTTCCGGCCATTCCTGTCATTAAAATAATGCGTCAGACAGAAAAAGGATTCTACTTGAAATCTAATGCAGGCATACTCCGCACTGTTAGGAACTTTCTTCTCATCCAATTTCTACTTGCTATCAAGGGAGGCATTCTCACGCAACTTGTCAAGCAAATTTTAAGGTGGCCATATTTCAAATATCAAATTAAATCATTTAAGGTTCCAAAGTTCCATTTGAAAATAGCAAGTAACTCTGCATTTATCACTCCAGTGTAATTGGAAAGAAACCTACTGAAAAAATTCTTCCAGGTCAAATTTGACGATTTCCATTTATCAGCTTCATATTTTGGATATCCAGTAGTGATATGGCTCAGCAATGTCACAAAAAACGACCTGGAACCAGAACCGTTCTGGCCACTGGTTTCCAGGTCAATGGTTTGACTGTCTGGTTTGAACGGACAGCCCATTCTGACAAAAAATAAAAAATGGCTAAAAACCGTTGAACGGGTTGATGGTTTGACCACCCGGGTCAACAGGTTGTTGACCAATTCAACAGTTTTTGGCCAGGGGCCGGGTTTGGGGTAAAACGGAACCAGTTGCCTGGACGGTTCCCGGGTCGAATGGTTCGACTGTCTGGATCAACAGTGGTTCGAAAACATTGTGGCTCAGTGCAAATATTGGCTAAATTGAATTATTAAAATCAGCAATTTGAAATAGGATATTGCTTCAACTTTTTAATAAACGGATCCTGATCGCATACCTCATAAGTGACCGCCCATTTTCCACTTCTGAGAGGCCTGTGCAAGAGATTGAGATTGCCCATATAAAGGGACTTCTTCTGGGAGATTCCCTGAATTTCTGTTAATACAGTATCCACCCTAACAAATGTGTCATCATCACATTTCATGACATAAGCAGCAGTCAAATTGCGAACCTGCAAAAGAACGATTGGAACATTTAGGGTGAGAAAAACTCAAGATAGAACAGGATGAAGTTAGGAACCATCATCACAGGACTGATTCAATATAAGACAGCTAGAAAGAAAGATTTTAAATGTTGGAATTTTGGGCATGGACGACCCTTGGGCTGTGGTGAAATTTTTATGGTAAATGTTAAATTAATCTTTAGTAGTTTTTGTATTCCATAGTAATGTCATATTTAAAATTCCAATTTTCAGGAAAATAAATGGCCAAATTCCCAAAAATTTAGGCAAAATTCAATCCAAAATAAAACTACTTAATATACTTTAGATATTGTGTTGGTGCTTGGTGGCTTTGTTACAACCAAAATTTCCTGAAACTTCAGACATTTAAAACCATGGCTAGGAGATGAACTGAAATTTAACTTACCCCAAACTCACAGATGGCAATTGTTTTAAGAACCACAAGTTCGTAGCGATCCATAAATGGCAGAATCACAATATCACTGAAGTAAGCTGCCTCTTTCTTTAGCACTGCATTCACCTCCTTCCTTGGATTCTACATTTTGATCTTACAGATGAGTAGAAACCAAACAGAACCCTATAAACATTCAAAGTGCAAAATACTTGCACCAGCATAAATACAAGAATAGTGTCTCAAAGGGCTCAAACCAGAATAGCATATCATTTTCCTTTTTCACACCGAGTCCAGTTAAGTCATGAACTTGATTCCATATGGATCTGATCAAGGATGCATCAATTATGAATGTATGGTACTGGGGTAACAACACATTTTCTTAGGTTTGATACTATCTAGGTCATCTCTCTGCATCCTCTTTCAAACCTAAGTTCAAGTGGGAAGTAAATTCTACCAAGACTGTTTGGATTCAAGGAGCAGAAACAGAAATAGACCCTTTGACTACACCCTCCCCTGGATTCCAGAATCCACTATAACACAGGCAAAAAATAACAGATTTGCTTCCTGATTGCATGCAGTTATATTTTAGAGCCAAACTGCGAAACCTAGGAAGTAGAGGAATCTGCATTTCCATTTCTATCACGGTAATCTTTTCTCCTAACACATAGGAGCAGAATATTGTTGATCAGTATCATACTGGTTAAACTTAGATACATAACATGGACAACAACTTACCAATGCCACAAAGAAACGAGCCACCACTTTTGAAGACTTGAATGCAGAAGATTGCATCCAGGTCTTTCTAACTGCCATACGCTCTGCAAAGTGATTTGTAGCAGAGAGAATCCCAATAAAAAGTTGAACAGGAGTGCTTGGCAAAGGAGGAGCTCTCCACTTTTCTGACATCTCCAAGATTTGCCGGGGTGAGACACTAGGATGAGAACTGGGAAGAGATGTTGCATGCACAGAATGCACATCAACATCACCTTTAATTACTAATCCTGTTGCATCTTCAAGAGTAAACCCCTAAGGAAAGAACCACACTTAGTCAGAACTGCATTTTCAGCACAAAGTATACAAAGGAAAGAATATAAAAAATAGATTTCAAATTCACGTGAAAATTGATATAAGAGAGGAACATCAGCAACATCACAGGAGGATGAGAAAGGTAGCCCAGTAACTGTACCATATGAGTCAAACATGTTGAAAGGATGCAGGACCAACTGCTGGTTAGTCCCAACATGGAGTCTTGGCTATCTATCTAATTCACCATTCTTCAGCATTCTTTATGTTCTTTAGACCCCACCATAATGAGATAGATCAGATGGTTAGGTAATTTGATTGGTCATTTTTTCTAGGGCATTACCTATATTGGAGACAATATATAACCAGCTTGGGACTCATTGCCCGCACCAAAAATTTATAACCCAACCGGGAGCCAACTAATTCTTATTCACCCATCTTGGAAAATCAGTATTCCTTGTACAAATACATTTGGATGTTATAAATTACATACCATACGATAAGGGAAAGAAGTCACATGTCGACCACCAACATTGATGTGGTATCCTTCCAAACCAGCTTGTATGGTCAGGATAAACAATCTTCCCTCCACAAAAGGAAATGGCCATGTCACTTCTGGCTTCTGGGGACGTCCTATGAATCGTTTGAACCATGATGTTGTCTTGGACTCTTTTGGATCTACAATATCATTCCGCATCCATCTCTCACATCTTCCAAATCCATCAACTGTCCAGCATAAGTTAAGAAATAAGGGAAAAACTCAGAGAAACGGGAGAGAGAGAGATCATCGGTAGATAAAAAAGAAAATGATAGGCTTTATTGCCAGTGAAACTGTAAATTATAACATAAACAAAGAATAGAATATCTAAAGGTTCCCTCTCCTTTACACAATGCATATGCTGGGGATATCTATCATGCCACAAAATGGATGCATTAAAGTTAAACCAAAATAAAGTGGATACATTAATAACTACAAAAGATTATGAGAGAACATAGATGACCATGATGAATCATAAGCCTATGAGACGAGGACACTAAGCTTAGCAAGAAAGAAAATGTGATTTGACTTTTAGTGAAAGCATGGTGAATCAAAAGTTCAAGGCAAGCTCCAATGGAAAACATAAGTGATCTTTTGGTTTTTTTTAACTAATTCTAAAGACTTTGAGCACACAGCCTTACCCCAACTAGGGGTGGAAACGAATCAAGCTTTTCACAAGCTATTCAAGCTCGGCTCATGAAAAGCTCAATTCGGCTCGGTTCAAAATCAAGCTTCGAGCCAAATTGAGCTTTCCTTTAACTTTTGATTCACCAATCGAGCTCGATCTGATTGCATGTAAAATAAGATTACTTTTTTATTTTTTTTGCATGTTGTAATCATTCATGGAGAGAGAGAGACGAGAGAGAGAAAGAGAAGAAGAGAAAGATATGATTGAGAGAAAAAGAAAAAAAACTATTCTGGCTGCCGCCAGTTCATTATTTATATTAACTTAATATAAAAAGAATGAAAATTACAAGTATGCCCCTGGCAGCACTCCCTAGAAACAAACTAATAAGAAAGAAAGAAAMTAACYRAYTGRCWRCATCTTAAKMKGACAACCCACTAACAGCAACTATAAAATAACAATTAAATAATCCTCACAACACTCCCCCTCAAGTTGGGCTGAATATGTCTATCATGCCCAGCTTGTCACATAACTCATTGTGCCGCAAGTATGAAAACCCTTTTGTGAGGACATCAGCGAGTTGTTCCTTGGAGTTGACATAAGGAATGCAGATTTCCCTTTTTTCCAATTTTTCCCTTATGAAGTGTTTATCCACCTCAATGTGCTTGGTCCTCTCATGTAGGACAGGGTTGCTGGCAATGTTTATGGCTGCCTTGTTGTCACAGTATAGAGACATAAAATTATGAACAACAACTCCAAGCTCCCCTAGAAGATTTTTTAGCCAAAGGACTTCAGCCACCCCATGTGCCATTGCTCTATATTCAGCTTTAGCACTTGACCTTGCTACCACACTTTGCTTCTTACTTTTCCAGGTCACTAGGTTTCCTCCCACAAATGTGCAATACCCACTCGTGGACTTTCTGTCATCCACAGCACCTGCCCGATCAGCATTTGTAAAGACTTCCACCTTCAGGTGATTATGTTTACTGAATAGTAGACCTGTTCCGGGATACTTTTTCAAGTATCTAAGAACTCTCTCTGCTGCCTCCATGTGTGGTTTCTTAGGAGAGTGCATGAATTGGCTTAGAACCCCAACTGAATAGGCAATGTCTGGACGGGTCATGGACAAATAAATCAGCTTTCCCACTAACCTTTGGAACTGTTTCACATCTTTCAGAGGTTCACCATCACAGTCACCCAACTTGTGGTCAACATCCATGGGAGTATCTGCTGGCCTTGCACCTAATTTGTTTGTGTCTTGTAATAGATCAAGGGTGTATTTCCTTTGAGAAATGAAGATACCCTTTTCTGAGCGGGCGACTTCAATTCCAAGGAAATACTTCAGGGGACCTAAATCTTTCACTTAAAATTTAGATGCAAGGAATTGTTTCAATTTTTGTATTTCTAAACTCCAACTTCCTGTAATGATGATATCATCCACATACACTACCAATACAGCAACCTGTTCCTGACATCTCTTCACAAAGAGTGTATGATCAGACTGACATTGTTTGAAGCCCACCTACTGAACTGCCATGTGAAACTTACTGAACCAAGCTCTAGGAGATTGTTTTAAACCATAAAGAGACTTTCTCAGCTTGCACATAAAAGAAACATGACCTAACCGACTATGCCACAAAAAAAATTTGTCTCTTATTTGACTGACTATGTGACTCTGAGGATGACACCAAGAGACCAGCTTTGTTGTCGAGAATGTAGAGACCATCCACTAGGCTCCCTCTACCAATCGTCCTCCCATAAGTTAGGTCCTGAAAAACACATGAGCCAAGAAAAAAGGTTACACTACAGTTTAAAGAGCTTGTGATACTACTAATTGAAAGAAAATTTATAGGAAGTTGAGGGACATGCAATACACAATTCAGGTTAAGGCCATGGGGAAGAGATATTGATCATTGGCCTGCAATGGAGGAGAATGAGCCATCTGCAAGCCTCACTTTATCCCTTCCTGACAAAAGGCTATAAGTCTAAAACAAGTTCGGCTTACCGGTCATGTGGTTAGAGGCCCCTGAGTCAATGATCCAAGGGGAACCAGTGAGAGTGACATGGAATGCAGAAGTCGTATTACCTGATGTAGATGCAAATGAAGTAGGAGTAACAGTGATTTGAGCTATCCATCTGTCGCAAAGCCCTACCATAAGACTCCAAGTGGTCTCTGAAGGAATTCATTATATCTTCCTTGGGGTCAGAATTATTAAGGTGGTCCCGGGTAGTACCGGCAACCTGAGTATCTTAGGTTGCCACATGTGCTGCATTATGTGTTGTGTTCATCTTCTTCTGACCTTGCCCTTTACCCTGTTCTTGGTTCTTCACTGCCCACTTGGGTTTCCCGTGAATGTCCCAACATGTGTCATGTGTATGCCGTGAACGCCGACAGTGGGTACAAAACAACTTGTCTTTATCATCAGCCTTCTTGGTATCACTTTTCTTCCCCATGTTGTTATTACTCATTGCATCCAAAGCAACTTGTTGCTCCCCCTCGGCTGTAACCATCACACTCCGCCTACTTTCTTCCGATTGAACAAGGAAGTATACCTCGTGAACTGACGGCAACTCTTTGCTTCCTAGGATCTGAACTCTCAAGGGTTCATAGGCAGGGTTCAGTCCCAACAAGAAGGCAAACACACGCTGCTGAGAAACCAGCTTCCTGTAGGCCTTAGCATCGTCATCATGTTTCCACTCTATAGCCTGATAATGATCCAATTCTTTCCATATGGAAGTAAGGACTGAATAATAGGAAGACAAACTACGATTTCCCTGTTTACAAGTTGAGGATTCAGCTTGCAACTAGTAAACCTTGGCATAATGCCTTTGCTTAGAATAGGTAGTTTTGGCCTGTTCCCAGATCTCACTAGCGGTGTCTGACCACATAAAGTTCTTCACATTAGGTTCCATGGCTGCAAGGAGCCAAGACATCACCATACTGTTTTCTTGGTCCCACCTATCATGTTCAACTGTCTCACTCTTGGTTTCTTTCACCCTTCCAATTATGTAATCAACTTTTCCCCTTGCCGTTACATAAAGTATTACACTTTTAGCCCACTCTAGGTAGTTTAGACCATTTAAAGGGGTAATAGGCATGGGAAACATCATGTTTTCACCTCCCATACCAGTTGTGCTGCGGGTCGGTATAACCCCCGATGAAGTTGAATCATAGTTTGCCATAGAATACTGCTGAAATCAGTCCAAATCCCACACAACTACACAACAGCCACAAACAGAATACCAACCCTCAAGAAATTTACTTCTGGGATGTGGAAAAGAAAACAAAAAACTGTTGAAATCAACTCTGTGATGGTTCAGTCATTAAACCAGCCCGGTAATTAGTCCAACACCAGCCAAGGCAGACGTTAAAATAGTATACTATCAGTCCAACTACAGCCCATACAGTCTAACAATCCAGCATCCAAACAAATGTATAGAACCAAGGAATAAGGCCTTCACACCATTGGCCAAAAACAAAAAAACAAGAACACATACCTTGTCTAGCACCTGTACAAAGGTGCCAACCAGAAATTGACTTCACAGCATCGAATAGAGAAGAAAGGGAGTCTCTATCCGCATCGCCCTTCTTCGACTAGGGTTTCCTTGATATTACGACCAAGGAAGAACCCAAAGGAAGAGCCGCAAGTAGTGTACTAGGGTTTCTCTGTCTTCCACGTCCAAGAAATCAAAGAAGGAAAAGAGGACGAAGCAGGTTCAAATAGGAGAGACCGAAATTCTTTTATAGCCCATAACCTTGCTCTGATACCATGTAATCGTTCATGGAGAGAGGGACGAGAGAGAGAAAGAGAAGAAGAGGAAGATATGATTGAGAGAAAAAGAAAAAAACTATTCTGGCTGCCGCCAGTTCACTGTTTATATTAACTTAATATAAAAAGAATGGAAATTACAAGTATGCCCCTGGCGGTACTCCCTAGAAACAAACTAATAAAAAAGAAAGAAAGAAAGAAAATAACTAACTGACAGCATCTTAAGAGGACAACCCACTAACAGCAACTATAAAATAACAATTAAATAATCCTCACAACACGTGTAAAATAAATATAATTTTTTATATGTATAATTTTTATTTTTTATAGGAAGTTTAGGTCACAATCGAGCTCGAGCCAAGCCAAGCTCAAATGTACGAGCTTGTATGAGCTTCTGAGACGAGCCAAATTCAAACTCAAGTCTCTAGCTTGAATCAAGCTCAAGCCTAACATTTTTTTGGTGAGCCAAGTGCAAATAGTCAGATATTTGGCACGGCCCGGCTCAAATCCACCCTTAACCCCAACCCAGGCTTAGAAAATTTGTTGTCTCCATGTTTCTGCAAATGAATGCCCATTTTCAGGCTGGTGACAAGGCAGAAATCCCTGTTTCCTAGTGTTTCTGCATGTTCCATATGTTCTGCTTAATAGAAGCTTTTCCATTTTGGTACAGTTAATCTTGAATCAATTTTTTTTTATAGGTTTAATCTTGAATCAAAATTTATAACAAAAAATTGTAATAGTCTCGAATGACATTGAAAATATTATGGAACCATAGGTATCGTGGCATAGAAGT